TCCAAGCTACTGAGTTACATGTGCTCCATTCACTAATTAACATTTCCTTCTTATTCCATATTCCTTTCTCCATTTCTTCTAAGGACATTTTATTCCTATATTTGTATACCCTGAATCTCTGCTCTAACAAATGAAATCTTTATATCTCTGGATATGTTTTCTCTGGTTTATAACCCTAGTAACTAATCTCTCATTTTTGGGAGGGTAACTCAGTTTAGTATGAGCAAGACAATTCCTCCTAATGCCTTAAAGGACTAATTCACTCTGAAGTGAAATCAGCTCTTGTGGAATGTAATAACTGGATAAAAGACATTTTGTACATCAGTCCAATATGTACAAACTCAAATTATATTACAAACCACACGTTTAGTTTTATTATGTTATCGATATGTTTATATGATAGTTATTTGTATTACACTTAGTCTTCCTTTGCCTATCTCTAAACATTTAAAACATCCCTAATCAAATTACAAATAATATTTTTTAACATTTAGGACTGTAATAATAAAAAATATCTTGAGGTTTTGCTCTAACATTTTGAATTTTCAATTAAAAATATTTTTGTTGCTTTAGAGTCAGTCTGTATGTAAAAGATATAAAATCCATCCCACCAGCTACATCTAACAATTTTTAGTTACTTTATAATTTAAGGTCTGACTCATTTTGAGAGAAGACAGCTTGTGTAGCCTCTATGTAAAACAGTAGGAGAAGCAGAAACTTCAGTCTGTTCTCATTATAAATTTGTTTATTCAGAAAGAAGCTTTGAAAGGCTGGCAGGCTTGCTGAACAATGAGTTGTTATTCTTTGAAGGCATATTATCTTTAAAAATACAAGAAAACCTGAAGTGTTTCTAATGAGAGAACTCGTATTTTTGAAAGGAAATAAATGGAAGAGTTTGAGAGGATATTTTTGTTGTGTTTTTTTTTTTCTTCCTCCTGGGGCTGCCTGTTGCTCTTATGGGGAAATTTCCTGCTGATTTGACTTTCTATTCTGCTGTGAGACTGATGCCAAGATTTACATGATTGCTGTGGATAGAAACTGGATTTAGCATAAGGAAGATAACTGCTTTTCCCCTAGGGAGAGACAGAAAAGGGAAAGACAGAGTGGGGCACATAGACAATATTATTTGAAGCTATATTCTTGGTCAATTACTTTATTCAGCCTCTATTTTAGGTTATGCTGCAACTAATAAAAAGCAAGAAAGCTACTGGTCTCAAGCCAGGAACAAGATAAGGAAGGAAACTCTTTGTAGTTTAATGCAAATGTCCAACTATAATGGAAGCAATGTACTGGTTTTATATAGAATTGTCATAGTACATCTTGTAACATAAATGTAATTAACAAAAACTCTCATCAGAATTTGCTGGGTGTTGATTTGCCTGATATGCGGAGTCCTTCAGCAGAGAGAAAAGAGTGAGTGTAGAACTGTGCATCGTTACAGTTATTTTAGCAATTCATCGTCTGTACAGTCTTTTGCACATCCTTTAATTTTGAACTACATGCTCTGAACATTTAAACAGGGGTTAAGATTTTTGCTTATAAAGCAGGTTTGCGCAACTTGAAATCATTTCCAGCCAGTGGGCAGACTGTTGTCTTCTGTTAACCTACAGTACCTATGGAAAATGCAATCTTTTGAGGTACTGAGAAAAGTTTGCATCACAATGCAGGAAACTTCACAAGCAAAGCAAGACTCCACAGTAAGCACACAAGAAATACTGTGGGCAGAAGGCAGTTTGAGGGAGTTTGGCTCTGAGAGGGTATGGGTTTTCAAATGTAATTATTAACAGATCACTTAACCAAATTTAAGTAATTTTTCTAATTAAATAATATACACCAAATAAATTAAAAACCATAATGAGTCAGTAATTAAACAAACCAGAAATAAATATTATCTACTTGATCTAAAAGTTTAAATTCAGTAACTGGAAGATAGTATCATATTACTGAGGTAAATATTCTGGAGTTCTGGAACATCTGGAAGATGTTGAAGAGCACAGGGCCCAAGATGGAGCCCTGTGGAACCCCAGTAGTGACAGGTCTGATGTTACCTCATTCACTATTACCCTTTGTGCTTGACCCGTGAGCCAATTTATATCAGTAATACAAATATAATAAGAAGAAAGCTTTTCACTGAGGACAGCAGAAAATGCCCAGTGCATTGAATTCAACTAAGTTGTATGACTGAAGGTCTAAGGGGCTTAAGCCTAGATTTCTACAGTGAAAGTATCTGTATATCCACCCAAAGATGAAATTATGAATACATCTGCTTTGCTTGAAATAATGAAAAATCTCATTGAGAAAGTGTGCTTTACATTCCACAAGTCAATGCTGTTTATTACACTGTTATCACACACATGCAGCCATTTGTTATAGAATAAACAAAATTACTTTTTTTGTGTTTCACCGGGTCAAAAAGCACAGGCAAAGATGTGCTGCAATTCATTACCATGTCACTGGAAAAGCTTTCATAAACATGAAGCTTCCTTTCTGGATTTATAATCAAATCACATTGAATTTGATGTCAGAGAGCTCATCTAATTAGTTTTCATCGACTTAAATATATGTTTATGTTTCTTAGCTGTTGTTGTCAGCTTTACAACAGTGTTTTTCATTAAAGGTTGGCAAAAAGTATTTAACCATATCTTAAGTGGACTCATCTGCACAGTTCTGGTTGCTGGGATATTCTGCTAAAATCTCTTGATTATTCAGAACAGTTTTGTGTATGATAGACCCTAATCCACCATCTTTATGCAGCTGTACACAAGATTGAATCAAAATCAAGATGGGAAGGCTTGCAGAATGAATAAGCAAACAAGTGTTTCTAAAATAAAAAAAATATCTGTCACAGGTTTCCTGATGATATGAAAAGTATAACACATTGTAGTGAGCCTACCATCTGAACATGTGGAAGGAGAAATACAGAACACAAAGCTACAAAAATCCAATAAAATTGTAAAGTCTTTTCGTAGTATCGATTCTACAGATCACGTTATTTCTCGAGGCCAGAGACAGACTCTCATAACGTGATCCTTTTCCAAACAAAACAGGTGTCCAAGTAAAAGACAGTTGTGCTTTTCACCACAGTTTTTAAGGAGACTATTGATTTTGTATGTGTCCATTTAAGTGTGTCTATTTGAGATGTGTTAGGATGGTTTTTTTAGAACTATTGAACACCCATAATTGACTGTTGAGGTCATTATCATTCTTGGTGTTCATTTTAGTTCATACAGTTAATAATCTTAAGAATATCCAGTTTGTCATTTTCTTGTTCAGCAGTTCTATTTTCTATACCATATTAACAAAGATATATAAAAATCTTTTCTCTCTTCAACTCACTATCCATGTATAATTTCTTTGCTCTGGAGTGGTCTAGCATGATGTTCTGGAAGTTGTTTGAGATATATGCAACACAGATAGGATGTTCCTGCACCAATATATTCTAGCATTGTCATTTTGGATGCTCCTCCAGTACAAAATCAGTTCTAATTTATTCCTAACATCTTTATACTGCAGTGTCAGAAGTTTCATCCTCCACACTTCCCCCGTCTCCTGACACATAGTTTTGCACATCTGGTTGCCTTTCTGTTATTTGCTTTGGACAGTCTCTTTCCAATTCAAGCTAAATATGGAATAAAATATTTTGCTTTAAAGGCTTATTCTTTCTCTTTCTCTTTGGTTAGCCTGCACATTCGGTAACATTTTAGAACCTTCTATTTACCTTTCAAGCCATTTCAGAACATCTCAATATTTTTGCTCTTATTTTAGAACCTTCAGAAAATCAGAACTTCTTTCCTGCATTCACATACAAAGCAACAGCAAAGAGAACCTAGCTGTAGTTTTAAAAACTCAGAACATTGAGGTTTGACTACTATTCCGAAAGAAGTCCTTTAAAAAGGGAAATCTTGGGAACATTTACCTTTGTGTACCACAGTACAGTGCAGAGATCTTTGGCATACTGATGACAGAATCTGCAGATTCCCTTTTAGCTCTCTAGGGAGTCTTACGAATTTCAGATGCAGTAGTCCATGGTTCAATTTCTTGCTGGAATGGATTCTCCACAAGTAGGGATAACCCTTCATTTGATGCTTACTCACTTGGATATATTTCTGTATTCCATACTGGCCATATCAGGGTTTGCAATGCTTATTTATTTTTGCCAGAACACGCTCCTGCATTAGCTGGTATTATTACACTTACATGGTTGAAATGGCACTTTTCTTCTATGACCTTCTTTTCATTAGCTTAAAATAACTTTTTAAAGCAATTATCTCTAGGCCAATACTTCTCAGGCTTGTTTTCAGGCTAACAGTTACATTTTTACCATTTTTAGTTGGAAGAGAATGCACTCAGTAGTTTTTGAGGATCAGGCTTTCAAATATATACAGATACAGCTGGCAAATGCAATAGTTCCTTATTTCCATTCATTTAATTTTTATCCTCCTAACTATAAGTAAGTATGATATAGTAACACCTCAAATACCACTTTCAATCTTTTTTGTTTTGAAGTTCCTCCTGAAGTTTGTTTTTGTTAAGTTGTACGGTATTTAGAGCATCTTTTGACTTATTACCTGAATTTATTACATAAAACTAGTAATAACCTCAATATCTTTATTATATGAACTGTGCATAAGTTAACATACACACTATATGCATGTATTGATACATTACCTCAATTATATAACTTTAATTTATATTAAAATAATAAATACATTGTCTAATATCTCAATTAAAATATAGCTTAATTCCATAACAGAGATGTTAATGTTGTAATTTTAAATCTGTAAAAGCTACATAACTAGGTAAGATTTCAAAAGAATATTATGTTCTCTAGGTAAATACATCACAGTGTGGCATAATGTATAACATGACATTTTATGACATCATGGTCATATATATATATATACACACAAATATATATAAAAAACAGTAACACAGTTTAAAGAAATAGGTTATTGCACTTGAAAGACAGCAGATGAAGATGGGAGACATGGAAAAATTACCTTTATGCAAACCTTACGCTGTACCACCTGGCAGCTTGTGTCACGTACCCTTCAGCCACCACTGAATCTCCTGTGAACAATGGAAGATTCAATAAAATGATCTCAGAGATCTAATTGATCGATTTCCATCAGTAATTTAGAGATAGATTTTCAAAGGCATGAAAACCTAATAAGAATGCATCTAATTGATTTTCAGAAAGAGCTGAGGACTTGATTCTGCATTTACTGCAGTTGGCACTGAAATTTTCATTGATTTAAATAAGAACAGGTTCATACCTGCAGAGACTAGCTGCTATTTATGCCTTTCACACTATCCCTTCTATAGCTAGAGATTTCTTCCCATTTTTTGTACAAATAACCTACACACTTGATGTGAAATGAAAACCCTAAGAGCATATATTCATGTCAAAACAAAAGAAGAAAGGAAATAATGATTTTGTACATACACTCAGTGCAATTCACCTTATATTACAAAAAAAACCCCAAAAAACAACAAACCAAAAAACAAGTCACATTTCCAAAGGTAATGGAAGTTTTAACACTTAAGAGTGAACACATTGCAACTGCCCCTCAGTTTTATGTTGCCTCTCTTCACTGAAGTCAATGGCATTATTTATGAGTAAAACAACCAAAACGTTGAATACCTAGTTTAGTCTCTAGCTGTTTAGAAGTCTACAAGTTTGAGTAACTATACATAGAACTATTGCTTTACTGCTGCAAGTGAGGAAAATGTTATGAAACATTCTATCAATAAATGAAACACTGTGATCTTATTCTGTTTTATGTAGTAAAGAAATGCAACTGAATATTTTAAAAGTATTCCTACCCAGGGAACATCTGGCTTTTCAGAGAATTGTCTCACTGATATATGCAAAGATCAAAAAGGGGTGATAGTGTTAGCATTCCAAATTCATCTATATGAAACAACAAGATAATTAGGTGTAAAAAATGCATAGTCATGTTCCAGGCAGTAAAGGATCAATTTCATCTAAAGGCAAGTGGAGTGTGCACTGTATCATCTGATCCAAAGTAGTGACCTCTTTGATTCAAATGCAAAACGCCTATTCCTATTGCAGATGGAGTTTTCCAGGACAAAGTGTTCAATAGAAAGATTACATTTCCAGTGGGGCAGAAAGGTATTTGCCAGTGTCTCATTACAGCTTCGATACAAACATCTTGGATTTCAATTAGCTTTGAGATAGAACAGCAATAATCCAGCATGGAAACTATAGACAAATCTTTGTTTCTTACACTATTATATGTGAATTTTTGTTTCATTTGCAATAAGATATTGCAAGATTTCCAAAAGAAATAAATAGAAGGAAATAACATTCCATTCATTTTAATGGCAGAGATATCACTTAGTGATGTCTGTCTGATAACTTTGCACTAGGAGGCGAGGGTGACATAATTTACATTTTTTCCAGCATAAATGAAAAGTGCTCAATTCCTTGAACCGTAAGTGTCCCATCAGTTCTACCCTCACTGTCCCACCTCCTATTATTAACATACCATATCCACTCTGATGCTTTTGATCCCTTTCTATGAAAAGTAATTTGCCTTCTCAATGGAAATAAGTATGAAATTTGCTCTAGTACATTTCAGGAGTTCAAACAATGGCCCACAGAAATTTCCACCCTGTGGAGATAATCTTTTAACTTCACACATTTAGACTTTGCAGTCATTTAAAATGCTTACTCCTAAATATTATTTGATATTTAAGAAAACTAGTATATTGTTCTGAATCGATCATGGAACTAGGAGATGGAAGGGCAATTCTTAACCGTCACTTGAGTATCTGTGACTGATTTTGAATTAACTCCTGTAAAACTCTGGATAGTATTTGCCATCCTTACTTTATACCTGCATCACAAGGGTAACTGTCAGCTTCTGATATGTGGCAGGAAGAAACGCTCAGAAACCACACAAGTATGATTCAGTTATTGATTTCTTTGTTAATAATGAAGTTATGATCTATGCCACGCAGATATGATTTTAATAACACCCTAAATTATATATGGTGCCTTCCGTTCAAAAGGCTTCCTTTCAAATATCAAATCACATAGCTTTAGCAGTAAGAAATATTGCTATTGAAATAAATATGGTTAATTTGACACACTAAACAACTGAGACTAAGAAAAAATAAAGATAGGTCTGTAACCTAGTAACCAGTGGCAAAAACTACTGGTGGCAAAACACCACTTTTCCTCCTGAGACACCAAGGTGAAATTCAAGACATGACTGCAGTCACTTGCCCCCACAATTCCAGAGCAGGGATAAGAGCTGAGAAAATGGTCCTTTTAAGATGAATTGTTCTATGAACTAGCCACAAGCTTTTTTCTCTCAGAGAAAGAAATGCTACAAAATGCTAGATTTATCAGCAAATGTAAAAATGAAAACCAGGAAATTATAAAATCTCATGGATCTGTATTTTTTACTTTCTTTTGGACTCTAAATGGCCATCATAAATAAATCACAACAGCTGGTCAGTAACTGTCTGTGGATATATACAATGAATTTAAGCCAGCCTCTATAATGGGTTTTTTGCCTCACTTCTGAATTGCAGCCATCTTTAGGGGAATGAATGCAAGAAAGATATAATTCTCTATAACTATAGTGAAATTAAAAATCATTTTCCTGATTAACGACAATATTGTTTAAATAGCACATACTTCCACTGCCTTTAATACCAGCTGTAAATACATTTTGCTCCTAAAAATAGATCTGTAAATGTCTTAGAGCTTGGTAGCATTACTGGCATACACAATACTAACAAAACCAGTGCTGTTTACTTTTTGTCATAGCACTATAAAAAAATTTAACAGGTTAGATGGTGCTTTGTGTATGTTATGCAGAACAAAAAATGCCAAATTATACCTGTAGATTTTTTCCAGAAGAATATCTTAACATGTTCTATTTACTGTAAAATAAGTGCAAGTCCCCAACTATAAACAAATATTTAATATTATAAAAAAAAGTTTTAATTTTATAAGTTTTTTTTCTGCAAGTATAATGTAATTGAAGAATTTAATTTTTTCAAATTATTTATTTTTGCAGAGTAGCAGATTTTGATTGTAAACTTCTAAAGCCACAGAAAAGTCCAGATGGCTGTTTCACAAGAAGATGTTCCATGAGAAAAATTATATGAATTGGTTGTTTTTGATTTCTGTACTCACAGCACTATCAGAATACAGACTTGAAAAGGACATCAGAGATCTAGTCCAATCTGGTTTAGCAGAATAAGTGTTCTTTAACATGTAATAGCTGTCTAATCTCCTGTTAAAAATTCCAGATAGAAGAGATTCTAGTAGCAAATTTAACAAAACAACACCACAAACTGCTTTCTCTAAGACGAACAGGCTCATTTCTTATAAAACTTTTTCTGACAGGAACAACAGATTTGACTCAACAGAAATCTGAGTACTAACAGCCATCAAGACCCATGGTGATGATGCCTATGTTTAAAAGCAGTTATTGAATAAAAATTTGCCAGCAGTAGAGTATCCACTTATACACACACATACCAGCAAAATATACTTTATCTGTTGAAAATTGTATACTTCTCTCAGCCTTTAAAGAACTGAAAGAAACAGCTGTTTAATTTTCTACCATTAGAAAACGTGTGCATTTCATTGTTTTATGGTTTTCTGGAGTCTCAAAATCACATGTCATGGGAAAGATGTACACTTACTTAGGTCTCTACACATTCACACATATATATTCCATTTATAAGCCTTACAAAAGGCCTTTTGCAGGTTTATTCTCTTTTTCTGTCTGAAAACACATGCACTAATGTAGTCAAAGGCATTGAAAGATGTACCATTCAAACTTAAGCGGATTCCTTTTGTTCAAAACGTTATTTTTTAAACTAAACTACTTGCATAGATCAGATTATCTCACAAGAAAATATAAACCAAAACACTTGTCAAATAGATTAAATAACAGGATATTAATGTAACCAAATTTAGGTCAAGCAAAGTAGAAAGAAAAAATTAATCCTGATTAAAAAATATAATCAACAGTTTAATATGATATGACATGCTTGTCTAGAAAACATATCTATAAATTAAAAAAAGGAAATCCTGTTTCAGAATAAAACATTAAACTAAAATTAGTCCTACGCTAGCAAGTAGAGGGGTTTAGCTATCCAAATCATGTTTAGGAATTTTGTGGTTTGAATTTAAATTTTTTTCTGTTAATTTTTTCATAGGAACACGCAGAGCAAGTTTCTTAACAAAGATACAGAAAAGGAACAAATTCTATCTTTACTTACAATTCTGTCAGCAGTAAAATGACTCCATTGCACCAGTCTTTATCAAATAGAACTGACTGATGCTGTGAATCAGTGACTCAACTAATTCTCATAACAATGTGAAAAGATTAAAATTTAACTGTTCCAGTTAACAGTTACAGCAGAATAAATATTACTTCATGGCAAGAATAGAATATCAGAAGCTAGGAATCCTAAATGCTAATCTCCGTGGTCTTGTCCCTTCGTCTTTTCAAGGCTCTTATTTCATTTTTAAATAATAACTAAGTACTTGATCTGGCAATTATTTAACATTTCCAGAATGAGATAATTTGGTGTTACCAGATGAAAAGTTCATTCACTTTAAGTAAAATGTAGTATTTTAGTGTCCCTTAGTTCATAATAATTCTAGTTTAAAACATACTTTATGATTATATAAGATACCCCTTCTGCTTACATACAGAAAAATAATTAAATCCTAACACAAAGTTAAATAAAGTCCCTGAAAAAAGTTAACACTTTCTCTCTCCTATTTATCCTATTATCTTTTTGGCTAGTAACACTAACTAATTTATACAAAATGAACTCTGATATCATCTTAACGAATGTTCAAACATATTCTCCCCTCTCAACAAAACTTCCACAAAGATTAACAGGAAACAGGTGCTCAAGCTGAGGGTAGACTATAGGCTGGCATACAACACACTTTAAAACCTTTCCTTTGGGCTGATCTCTTGGCACTTCTCATATTCTCTCATAAAACCAGAGCTAGTGCAGGTTTTGGTGCGTTACAGGATCCCTTAGGAAGCTGTCATTATCTCCTCTCTTAACCACATAATAGAAAAAAAAGAAGGGAGTACCGTACACAGACCACACTGAGGAAGGAGAACTTGGAATTTTTCAACTGGTAACCTTATTTTCTGTAATCCTCAAAAAGGACCCATTCACCACCACCTTATTGTGATACAACAGAAAAAAAATATGTCCATCTAGCAGGAATAGGGAAGGGGAAAGAAACTTATATTAGCAATGCAGCAAATTTTCTAAGCAAAAGCACAGACTAACAAATGATATTAGAAAAGTTATATATTTATATCATGACATAAAATCTTCCTGATTATTTCAATTCCAGTAAGTCTGTAGGAGGGACTTTTAATTGTCCTGAAATATGAGGGGAAAAAAGGGAGCCTCAATGGAGAAAGGTAGGCCAGCTGCCTTTTCCTAGGCTCATGAACTTTCACAGAGGACAGCACAGCACTGGCAGTTACTTGAGGAAGGAATTACCCTCTCCAGCACAGATCTTGGGCTCATGCTCCAGAGCAAATCACTGTTCCTCAGCAGCACAAGGAGGTGACAGAGCAAGATGATGGCACAGTTGCCTTTGCTCTCTACCCTTCTGATTCAGGCAGCAGAGGAGTCTAATGTTCTCCAAAAAAACAAAAGTAGAGACTCTTCTGAATCAAATGGTATCTTCCTCTGCTTAGTCTGGATTCCTGCTCACCTGCAGCAGAGACCTGATGCACCTTTATCATTCTTGTACATGTCTCAAAATAACTTCTCAGTAATACACCAGTTCTGCTTACATGGGTACACAATCACTGTTAACTCTGGTGTTCATGTCTTAAACCAAGCTGTGACCATCCAAGAACCAATGCACAGGATGGGTGTATAAAATCCCCTAGAAGCTGTTTTCCCAGTGCTGGGTACTGAAAGAGTTCACCTCACAGTGTAACTGATCCACATTCTTACAGGCCATTATAAAATTGGGGTTTGCTAGACCGAAAGATGCCACCACCAGGAAGCTGAGGCTGGAAGAAAATGGTCACTTGTAAACAGCTACAACCTGTGTGCTTTCTCCAACCTGTCCTCCCACCATAGACCTCATGCCTTCCAGCTGATGAAAAATGTACCAGCTTACTTAAACTGAAACTGCTGTTACTTGTGAGATCCATGACTGCTAAGCCCCCACAAATTTATTTGTATAGAGTTAGTACTCTGTCAGTGTTTGTATCACTGCTAAACTGACTCAGGTAGAGTTATTTGAAAACTACAGCTATCATTTACAAAGAAAAAGGGGGATGTCAGTGCTGCAAAAATTAGCTCTTCTATTTTCTGTGTTCTAAAATGAAGGACTAATGTAAAAAATAATAACATGACCTTTAGCATGTATATGTAGGTTCAGGACCTAGAAATACACTTCAGTATTGAAGATCAATTACCAAAAAGCAATTGGCTAAATTAATTAGAAATGTGACATATCTGGTTCCTACATTCATAATTTTAAATGTAAACTTGAAAAATATTACTGGAAAACATCAAATACAAAATTAATGTTTTATAGCCAGACAAGAAATAAAGTAAAATACAGAAATAAAACATAGATTCCTGTTCTGAGGTGCACACATCACTTTAAGTGGTATTAGAAAATTCTGGCAAACAAATTCAAGGACGACAGCTGTTAGTGGAAGTTCATTACTATCATCTTCATATTTCCATCTCTGGAGAAAGATGCAACCCCTTGTCTTGCACATCATACAATTTTCTTTGACACTTTCACTTAACAGTTTCTCTGAATGGTAACACCCATACTCTCACAAAATGTATGGAGGTTATTCAATGATCAGAAGCCATTTAGACAACAGACAGTTTCTCTAAATTTTCTTAAGGTACAGTGTGAACCCTGACTCACATGGAAGACAGTAAATAATCAACACTGGTTCCTGCAGCAATTGAAGTTCTTCTGGCAGCTCTCCCAGCAAAGTACCAACCAACCTGTTCAGTTTATGATACCTAGCAGAATTGCAGCCTGACAAAGGCTGACTACAACATGGCCTTTTTCCAGTGCTTGTCAGGATGAGTTCAAAAGATATACTCACCAGACACAACTATTTGTAGATCCAGTGATTGCAAATAAATTATTCCAATTTGCAATAGCAGAAAATTTAACCTGCTATGGAGTTAATAGTTACTGCTTCCAAAAGCTTCGTTTTGTAGGGTGTTGCAAACACACACTCCACTTGAACTATAAGAATCATCCATATTAATTCTGTCTTGGAAAGCACAGCTCAGGAAGATCAGCAGGCTGAGGTGTCACACACTTCAGTGAGATACGTTCAGCAGCACCAGCCCAGCAGTTAGAAAAACAGGCGAAAGATTTTGATACAAGTTTCCACAGGATGCAAGTGACAATATACTTATTAATTTAGGAGAAGTGGGGAAGAGCAACAGCACTTGCTACCAGTTTGTAGCTGTACCCGAACGAGGTGTAACTTCACTCCTGCACGACGCCCGTGAGGGACAGCGCCGTGTCCCCGGGACAGCCCAACGCCACGGCGGGACACCCCGTACGGCACCCTCTGCGCGGGCCATTTGTCCCTCGCCTGACGCTCAGGGCACAGCAGGCGTTTACAGCTGTCATCCCCAGATCAATGGAGCGACTACGGTACCGGCCCTATGCCTGGCTCCCAGAGTTCAACTAGTGCCCGCATCGACACGATTCGTTTCACTGATTGGCAAGGCGGAGTCTGAGGCGGCTGGGCTAAGGTACATCCTCAGTGACGCGGGTGGGCTGAGGCGGCTGGGCTAAGGTGCATCCCCACTGACAGGGGTGGGCTGAGGTGGCTGGGCTAAGTTGGATCCTCACTGACAGAGGTGGGCTGAGGTGGCTGGTCCCTCCTTGCCCCGGGCCCCAACCCCGGCGGACAGGTCGCAGCCCGGCCCGGTGGGTCCCGCCCGGGCCCCATGAGGCGCGAGCACCTCGGCCGCCAAGCGTCCGCGCCCCAGAAAGACTGCAGCTCCCGTCATGCAACGCGCGACAGCGCCACGCTCGCTCGCGGCGGGGCGCCGGCGCCGAGTCACGCCCGGTGGTGCGCGCTGCATGCCGGGCGTCGTTGTTCTCCGAGCGTCTTCTCCAGCCCCGCCTCCCGGGAGGGGCGCGGTGCCGGCCCCGGCCCCGGGAAGCGCCCCGTCCCCGCCTCTCTTCGCCCTCGTTCCCCGTGTGAATTGCTTTCGGATCGCTCGCTGAGTAGTGCCTTGGGTGTCTTCCTGAACAGGTCTCCGTATCCTTCCACAGTTCCCGTAAGTTCCTTTGCATCCCGCAACGCTGTCAGAGCTGGTTTGTCCTTCGGCGCCCGCCGTAGGCCGCCGCCCTCCCGCTGCCGGCGCCTTTGTGCGGCGGCGGAAGGGGCGCAGGGGCGGCGGAGCGGGGCCGGAGCGGGGCAGGAGGCGCCGGCAGGTGCGGGGGCCAAGTCGCGCCCGGGCCGCTGCTGCCCGGGGGGAGCGAACGCTCCTTCCCTCGGGCTCGCCCTGCGGAGCGAGGGCCGGGCGGCAGGGTGGGGCCGGGGGCGGCCTGGCCGGGGCTCCCTGAGGGGGAGAGACCGGGGAGTGCCGCCGCCTCCTGGGCCGCGGGTGTGAGGGAGGATCCTGCCGGGGCTGCCGGGCGCGCTCCCCGGTGCGGCCCCCATGGGGTTTGGGATGGCGGCTTTCGTTCTGGCGGCAGCAGGTTCGTGCCGCTGTCAGCCCCGAGCGAGGCGGGGCGGGCGCCCCTCTCGCTCCTCGGGGATCCCTTCCCTAGACGGGCGGGGCGGGGACCCGCGGTGTGACAACGCGCCTTCCTGGTGCTGTGCCAAAGTGACACGGGAATGCCATTCAAGAAAACCGACCGTAGAGTATTTATTTATTGGTACTTAAATGTTTACAGAGGACATATTCATGTCCTGGTAGACGTATGAGGCTTGCAGCATTTTGCATTCTTGTCTGTGCTTAGGTGTGCAATGCAAACGCAGGTATTCTTCATTTTGAATTAGTGCGTAGTTATATTACTAATGCATAATCCTGTGTCCTCGGTGTCAAGCTTAGTTTAAAAAGCATTTATTGTAGAATCACTCAGTTGTTGTAGAACCACTTCTACATTTTCTTTGCAGACTTAGATTTGCTTAAAAACAGTAAAATTGAGCTGGTCTCCATTTAGTCCATTCACACAGTTTTTCATACCTGTGTTCTAAATCTTTGTTAAGTTCTAAGTTTTGGAGTTTCCCACCTTTTGTTGTTGACCTTCTCGTCTGTATTTGAGTTAGTTATATAGCAGAATTTTTTGTAGTATTTTTGTCTTTAAAAGATCCACCAATTTCTTAAGAGTGTACAAAAAGTTTGGGGACAAAAATTGATAATACACATATTTTATAGTTTTCTTTGACCATCACACTTGTACTTACATTGTCTTGTAGTTTATAGTAATGCTACTAAATCTTTTAATAAATATTTTGAATCATACAGTGGTATGTAGAAGTATATATAGTTTACATACTAAGCTATAGTGTGCCAATATTTAGCTGTTGAAGTGAAAAGTGAAAGATAAATACTGTCTTGGTGCTCTCTTTGCTGTTTTCAGTCTCGGTTGGCTCTGTAGCTGTACAGAATCCTATGGCAAAATCAAATGCTCCCATCTTCAGTACCTAATGTTTCTTTCAAAGTAGTTCCTTCAAACAGCATCAGAACTACCTTAAGAATGGATGCTGTCACCATGTCATAGTACTGTCTGTTTTAAATCAATCCCTTGAGAATGTGTTAAGTGAAAGAAAAAGGGAAATAGGAATGTGATTTTTTTTCAATTATTACTGACTTTTCAGGTTTCTGGTTGTGGTAAGCTAGTGTAATTTCTTTAAGGATAGCTTCTTTAAAGGAAAGCTGCTCTCTTAAAAAAAAAACAACAAATGAAAAACCCCAACCAACCAAAACAAAACCCAAACAGTGATGTGATTTCTGTTGATCAGCATTTCAGCCATGTCTGACAAAAGTGAGCTGAAGGCGGAGTTGGAGCGCAAGAAGCAGCGATTGGCTCAAATCAGAGAGGAGAAGAAGAGAAAGGAGGAGGAGAGAAAGAAAAAAGAAGTAAGAAATAATTTTCGCTTTGAAGTTTGGCTTTGCATATGTAACTTGCCCAAAATTTAAGGTTAGGTTCACATAATCATTTGCTACGTGTAGTTCAGGGAGTGTCTATTTAATGGCTGGTGCCAATACAAATGTAGTACTTCCATTGTCTGAGGAGAGCAAACACCTGCTCTTTTCTTTAGAATTGTCCATAAGATGTTATGTATTAATTCTGGGGTTTTTTAATCCTACACTGGCATAAAGTTCTGATTTCTAAAACTACTTTTGTACATGTAACATCATTAATCAAATCACTGTAAACTATTGCCTGAAAGCTCTGCTTAATAAGTTGGAGTGGTGTTAAGTAATTTCTGAAGTACAGTCCACAGGATGTCTATATGAATTGTCTGACTGTCAGTATTATCATTGTACAAATACTGTGCTATGGTCTTGTGCTCTTTGACCCATCTATAGGCTGAATTTTAAAGTCAGATCAGCACTCAGGATGTATATGGTACTTGTGTGTTAGACTTGGTTTGTTAACATTGTCTTCTGGATTTCTGTCTACTAAAGGATGTGACAATCAGATTTATTGCTGTTTCTCCTGAATGCAGATTATGCCTTATAAAAGAAACTTTTGCTGGAATGTTTTGGTGGTTGGGGATACTTTTTCAAGACTTTTCTGTGTTTTGGTTATAATCTGGTTGGTGTTCTAAATTAGGATATGACTGAAGCCTGGACAGCTGCCAACTACATGATTCAGACAAAAAGGAGAGGAGAATATCTCAAATTATGTTCTAATGATTTTGTAACAATGTATTGCCTGTATCTGAGATTCCACATGTAATGCAATAGCTTAGCAGCTGAGAACTTGCTCTAAAATTTGGGAATTGCTTTTTAAAAAAGCAGTTAAATGATTGTGGAAAGATATGGAGTGTTCAGCATCTTTTACAGTAGAGCTTGCATTATGCCTAAATTAAAGAGGATGGAGGTGTAGGTTTTTGAGTGGGTTTTTTTGAAATCTAGCAAATAACACAACTTAAAGAAAACTACTTTTCCTTGATACAGTCATTGTAATTTCAAAATTGTAACACTATGACGATGTCTCTAAAACACTTTCATACACAGATACATAATATTATTTCTTCAGTGTTTGCATTTTACAGTGCTTAGCATTAGTGTAAAAAAAAGGTATTCTTAATCTTATTAAGTGTTATTCATTGTGGCAAACTTTTTGGATGTTTATATATGTCTTTTAAAGACAATACCAAAGCTACAAAACTTTGTTATTCCTGTCTGTTTACTTTATCTACAAAAAGGACCATCAGAATAACTAGAGTCAAATACTTAACCTATATGATGATAGATTTCAGAAGAACAAAAAAGCCCTATGAGGTCTCAAAATAAATGAAAGGTTAAATGCTGTTAAATGCTATAACTTAATTATTGAATCTCTTTTAGACTGACCAGAAGAAAGAAGTTCTTCCTGTACAAGAAGAATCTGATCTTGAAAAGAAGAGAAGAGAAGCTGAAGCATTACTTCAGAGCATGGGGTTAACACCTGAGTCTCCCGTTGGTAGGAATGTTAATATTTGTTTGAGATAAATGTTTGAGATTTTTTTTGTTTGTTTTTTTGGGGGGTTTTGTGTTGATAGGGTTTTTTTGTGGTGGTGGTTTGTTTATTTGTTTTGGTTAGGGTTGAGGTATTTACATATCTAAAATAAAAATTCTCTGGCCACTTTTTTGGGGGGTGTACATGTCTGGTTTTAATACTAATTTGTCCTGCATGGTCTTTGTTATAAATGCCAAGTGATGTCCTTTAGTACACTTTACATAACACTCTTTTGTAAAATACATGTTTTACACTTAGTGTGTTATTTGAAGTATATTAGTTAAAATATATAAATATCATGTATGTGTTTTATTCCCCTCCCATTTTTCCTGCACATTATTCTACTGTGCTTTTTCTCATTACTCTTTTTCATAATGCCAGATTTTAATGCCAGTATTTTTGTTTGGAGTTGGCGTGTTTCCTTTCTGTATCTTTTACACCCTCGTTTTTCTTATGTCATTTACCTGACTGACTTTGATGGAGCATTAGCAAGGCTAAGTATAAAAATTAACTACCAAGGGTGATGATTGATACCTGTGCAGCATATTGGTTGTTGATTTTTGCCTTTACATAGACACATTGCTCTGGCAGATGAAAGCAATGTGATAATTCAACTCCACTTTTTATCTCTAACTCTGAAATTGAAGAGGTTTAAAGCTTATCAGTTTGGCTCATTGGTGAGGTTCTATTTCAACTGGGTTTGTAAATAAGTAATAATAATTTCTTATGGTTATAGTATATCTGTGATTATATTTTCATAATTGCTTTTGCATAATCCTCAAGCATTCAAAAGCAAGCATGGAATAAACACTGTTACTGCTGGTTCCATTCCAACAGCCACAGCAGTCATTTCTGGTAATTTGAACTCTTTGCATAGTTGAGAGAGTGCATTTGGGCTATGTTAGCACTGGCATACAGCTTTTTAAGTAATCAGTTCTGACCTACTACTGATTTTGCTTGCTAGACTAATGGTTGAACACTTCCCTTGCATGAAGGTTTGCCAAGGCCATTGATAAGACTTTTGTAGAAACTTGTATGGTTATTGTTTTTTTTCAAATCTGCGAGAGATCCAAAACCCATAGAATAGTCAGTCCTCAAAGCAAGTAATTGCATAGGCTCAGAGTAGCTGTTCATGAAGAGTTTGGGAGTGTTGACATCCAAGACTGGGGCACAGCCCTGCATGTTGTGGTTAATTCCACTGAGATTCTACTTAACCACACCCTTCAGTGGAAGGTTTGCAGGGGATTCATTCTGTTCCCTTTCAAGATAACCAGATCTGATGT